AATGCTGTAATAATGTAAAGTCTTCATAAATACTTAGTAAATGTGAGTGAAATTAAGACAGAAGGAACTCTTCCCTTCTTCCCCGCCAATGCCAACGACTGTATTTCAGTCACTTAGCTGTATCATTTAATTTACATTGCTGTATGTAAATTATGGTGCCTTATTCACAGAGGAATATTAAGAATGCACTGTGTGCATGAAACATGCTTCCTGTTTACTAATATTAGAGGCATTGGGTTCAAAACCTCATTTTAAAGAAAAAGCACTTGTGCAGAAATTCCTTTGGCCTTCACAGTTCAGGAAGGACCCATTTGTAACAAGTCCAGTTACTGTAACAGATTAATAATCTGTTGTAGTTCCCAGTCTGATTTGTATTTCATGCCCAGTCATTCCTAAATCCAGAAGAACAGCTCTCCTGATACACTAAATGTAAATGACTGTACAGTTCAGTAGGTAATGCTTGCCAACCCTAATGAGCTCAGACATACAAGCGTGTATCTGAAGTTGCAATACTTTGTATTGTAAGGGTAGAACTGAGTCTTGGTGTGGTTACAGGAGGGCAGGATCAGACAAAAGCAGGCTACAGAACATGTGTTGAGGTGGTAAGGAGAGGTCAGAGGAGCCCTGGCTGTCCCCAGTGAGTGCAGCTGTACTGGCACAGGCACAGCTGTGCTGCCCCCGGGCTGGGCTGGCTCCGGCAGCACCGCCTGTGTCCACACAGCCCACAGCAGCCACAGCCGAGCCAGGGCACAGGGCTGCTGGCACAGTGCTGCTGGCACTATGAGTACCTCAGGGAGGGCCAGTTCCCTCCTCAGTCACTTTGTGATGTACCAAAGATTTGATGCCACATCATCCTAAGTGATTCCAGGCTCTGACCTGCCCCCGTTCTGGGCACTGTTCAAGTGTCTTCATTTCATTTCATTAGTGTGAAATTCTTCACTACTCAGCTCATAAAACCCCAGTGACACACACACAGTCTGCAGTTCAAAGAGCTGCAGCCAAATCTATTCAAACTTAGTACAGAGAGCCCTTCTCCAGTAAATTCTGCAATTGGACCAAAATTGGTTTTATTAAGAGTCCACCTTCAGATCATTGTTACCACTGATTTTACTGAAATTGTTTTTAACAGAAACAAATTGATCCTTGCTGTGTGGTTGATAACCTGTAAGTGTGAAGGCCTTTTGTGAGATGTCTCCCAGTTAGAGCATAACTTGTGCAGAAAAGACATGAAGGTTCATGCTGAATTGACTGCTGATGTGAGCATCACTGTGATTTTTTTCCTTGAACAGTAACAGTAGCTGATTATATATCACGAGCTGAATCTCAGAGTAGACAGAGAAACCCTCCAAAGGAGACAGTAGCCAAAACCAAGAAAGAAACGGTAAGATTTTTTTAATGTGCATTTCCTTTTTTCTCCTCCCTTGCAGCAGAACAGTAAAGGCATGAAGGCTTTAGATAGCTCATCATTTGACTACACGTGCATTTGATTTCAAGAACAAATCATTAAAAGCAAAAAGGGCCCAGAGTAAAGAGAACTGACAACAATTTGTTGTCTGTTGTTGCAGATTTTAGGGACCAAATTAAGTCCGTACACATTTTTGAAATATTATATTTAGTAATGTTGCATTATGCAATAAAATGTGAAAATTGCTCGTGGTAAGTCTTGAGAACTATTCCCTAAAGCATTTTAGGGGTAGAGGATACTATGTGGCATTTTTAGTGACTTGTATAAACTATTTCAGAAGGAATTAATTTTACAAAGATTGTATGGTTTTGATCCTTTTTCCTTAAAGGATCAGAGGGGCATTACATTATCCTGATAAACAATCACAGCTGAATAAAGCAGAATTTCTTCACTTCTAAAGTGCCAATGTATTGCCACAACTTAGGTAAAAAAGATCCATTAGCAGAATGTCATCTTGCTACTTCAAAAGGGGTGTAAAGCTCAGTTTTTCAGTAAGCTCCTTCACGGGCTTAGACAAATAGAAATAAATAAGCATTCTGGGGGTGTGCAGTCCTGGGGTTACGTTGGCATGTTTTCCTCAAAGTGGCAGATACAGAAATATACCATAAACCACAAGGTAAGTGATCAAATGCTTCAAGGGGCAGGATACAGGCAGGAACACAAGAGATGTTCCCTCTTGCAAAGCTGCTGTGTGAGCTAGAGAGAATCTGAGATTGCACTCTGTATTGTTATGTTTTTAATACTCCCCTCTTCTTGTTTTTGCAAGGCAAAAGACGCGATTGACGAAAACAGCCCTTCTGAAAAGGCAGTGAATGGTCCTGCCACCACCTCCGGGGATGAGCCTTCTAAACTACAGCACAGCCCTGATGAAAAGAAAGTCACTGTTCAGGAGGATGGAAATAATCAGGAAGAAGCAGTGCTGAATGGTGTTTCATAAACTGAAGTTCCTAGTTTACAGTTCTTTTACATTACATTTAAAATAGTGCTTGTATAAGCTTGCCAAAGATAGAATATGGATCGCCAGTCTTGACACCGCACTTTCAGTTCCTCCATTTTGGAATACAGAAAGGGGAGGGATCCTGGAGAAATCATATGTTAAACATACTTTGACACCTACTGTGTTATAAATATATCATCAGATGTGCCTTGAGATAGTATATGTAACATTTAAATAAACAAAATTGCTGGCTATAGGAAATGTTATTTTGTTTTCAAAATACGGCAAAGATGTGAGGGGGATCCCTAACATAATACTCTTTATGAAAGCATTAGCTGCTTTTGTTACATTTTTAATAATATGCAACCACTTCTTCACCTGAGGAATACTAGAAAGAAATGCAGTCTAAAATATTTTGCACTGAAATGTAATTTCTCCATTAGTTTAGTCTGGAAACTGGTCTGTTTTAATACATGTTTTTTAAATGCTGTATGTAGAGGAAAAATCTGCAGACCACTGGAATGCATTTGTTAAATTCTCATAATCTGCAGGGATACTGGGTGACATTGGCAGTGACTGTTCTACATTGAGGCTTTGTTTGGTTTATTTATTAAACTGTACAGTATTTAAAAATCAAACATAGCTTTAGTTAACACTAAGCTGAATTAGTCATGTCCATTAAGACATAACCTGAACTACTGAAAAGATCAATTTCCAGAAAGTTTATTCTGTATAAACTACATATGTTAGTCCTTAGTAGAGTATTTTTATTTTTGTTTTTGGTTGTTTGATGTGCAATATGTTTTTTTTGTATGCTGGTAGTAAAAGAAAATAAACTTTGATCTTCCATCTGTTGACTGTTTCTATCAGAAATTTAAATTACTATTGACTTTAAGGTTTTCAAGCTGTTAACTAACAATGGAAACCTACTTGTGAGGCAAGCTTGAACCTTGAACTCTTTTTCATAAGTTTCTAACATGCTGATCTTCCTTTTGTTAAGGCAGTGGTGTCAAACACCAGTGAACAAGTCTAAAACCAGACTCCTTACCTTGGAGAATTGCATAACCTGACTAACATATATAGGCATTAATGCAGATGTAGTTTTTGATTAGTTAAAGCATGGCACACCCCTGCATCTTTCAGCTACATGAGCCTTCCTGGCTCACAAAACAGGTGTGGAAAATCATCTGGGTAGCAAGGAGGTGTAAGAAATCAGAGCAAAGGGCTGTGTTGAAGTTGTACTGACTGAATGAAAAAAATTGTCTTGCCTGATTTTGTCAGAAGGATAAAACCAAGAGTTCCTTCTCAGCAGCTCTGCCTGCCAGAGCTGCAGCCAAGCTGGCCCAAGCAGCAACCTGTGTGTGCACTTTGTCATGGGACTGCAGTGTTGGACACTCAGCAACAACACACCCAGTTAAAAGCTGTAACTGAAATGTGCACAAGTATCTCAGCTGATGCGGCAGGCACAGGAGTGGAGAAAATTTAAAAAACGAGTTATGTAATAAGTTGGTAGTGTTTGGCTGGGAAGTACTTAGGTACAGAAACATTCTGCACATGGCTTGGCCTGTGCTGACTCCAGAGATCCAGCTGTCCTTCACCCTGCTTTGAATTCTGTAGCAGAGCAAAATTACTGCCTTTCTGGGGAGGTTGTAATGTTAAGGGTTACTGTGGTAATCCTTCCTGAACAGCCCAGAACTCATCCACAGCAATGCTGTGGAACAGCAGGCAGCACTCACAGGATGAGATGCTTCCAGCAGCACTCAAAGTCCAGGTTCTGGCAGTAGTGGAAGCTTTCAGCCCCACTGTGTTTATGCCCAGGTGGGCATTAACTCCCAGAGGAGCTGTGCAGTGTTTTGCAGAGTGGCAGGAGCACTGGGAAGATTCTTGGAGTATGACAGAGCTCTCTGGCCCCAGCTGAGACCCTCACGAGCTGCTGGGTGTGAAAAGCTCTACAGAGCACAAATCCAGCTCAGGTATCAGCAACTGATGTAAAGAGCTCCTGTTTCCCAATCACCATAAATGCAAACCTCACTGTGTGAGCTCTGGCTTTGTAGAGTACAATAATGTGTAAAACTACAGGACTTCTATTACAAATACTGAATTTATTAAATGCTATTAAAACCTGTCAAAACTAAAAGTTACTAAAAAAATCTGGGATGTTCCAGATCCATCAGTAACACTTAACCAACCTTGTTTTTCACAAGGCAAGGACAAGGGAGTACATTGTTTCCTGTACTTTATTTCTCCAGGCAGAGACAACCACACATCTCTCCCAGTTCCTCCTGTCCAATAAATCCTCTTGGTTTTTCCACCCCATTCCCAAACAGGTTCAGTGTGCTAATTTTAGCAGATGGAAAAGCAGCAGCGTGAACTTTAAACAGGGCCAGTTGAACAGAAATGAGGTGACAGCACACGAGCCTACCTGTGCCTGGTAACACACACTGGCCACACCAAGTCACTGCTCTCAAGCACTGAAAATATTTGAGTCGCAGATTTTGCTGTTTAACAAAGAACAGCTATGAAAAAAATCTTTAAGCTTCACTCCCTCATGTATTTCCAAAAAAAATGACCAAGTTGGGAGGGAAGTGCCTCCCTGGATTTGTATTTCCAGCTTCATTTATATTAAGTCAAAGACTGACATTAGAACTTTTCTTAAGCCATTTATCAAAAATAATCATTTGCAGGGACAAACCCTCTGAATGAGTGATTTTCTTTCTCATTCATTTTTTAGCTTGGTCTTCTAGTAGATCCTTAGCTTCATTGATTTTGGCAGCTACATATGGAGATCCACCTAGAAGAAAGAGAACCTCAAATCAGATGAAAAAAACCCAACATTTGTCTCCTGTGTTGATAATAATGCCAGAGGATACAGGAAGAAAGAGTGTGGTCTTTCTGCCAGTTGTAGAACAAACTGGGAATGACTGCAGGCACTGAGTTCAGTCACTGCAGGAGCTTGGTGTCAGACCACCCATTCCTGTTAGATGCTTTTATTTTCCTGGAGTGTTTTTTCCCTCCAGTTTTATCAGTCATAAATGAATTGGTTACCACAGACTTAGCACAGTTGTGGTGAGTACAGGTCTGCAGATAACCCTGCCCAGCTAAAGTGCTGCTGTACCAAGGGACCAGTTCAGTTCTCAAACAAGGCAAAAAATTGCTCAGGGAGACTGAGACAGAGCCCACAGTGAAATGCACCAACGCTGTAAAGCCATGAGGGACAATGACTCTGTTGGTAGCATATATACCATTAACTGCACTATAATGTTTTACTTGAAGATTATTTCAACTTGTTTAGGTCATGTACAACACCAAATGCTATTTTTAGCTCCTGCATATGCTCAGTAAGGTTCATTTTGAAGGTAACTTTCATTTGATAATACCTATGAAAGGCATATCCTCATGGATTATTTTGGATTTTGGTGCATAGAAGGAATTCAACAATCATTTTAAAGGAAGCCATTTTACCTTTTAAGCAATGATTAAGAAGTTAAATGTCAAACACCAACACATGATTCTGACTCACTGAATTTAGAATAGATATAGATGCCCTGAGTTACTAACTTTGAGTATAACTAGATTCTAAGCCTTCAGAGTACCACTAACAGGAATATTTCATAATTTAATGTCTCCAGCAGCTGTGGAAGGCTCAGGATTTCCCATTTATGGGAACTCCTAAGGCATTCCCATGAACTCAAACTCTCAAGTGGTATGTAAAACACACAAGGGTACTCTGGGTTTTCATCTAAAATTAAGGCAATTTTAAGTCTCATTTTAACAAATCACATTCTACCGTGGTATTCACAGAAGACAGAGCAGCTAACAAACTGACCTGCTGAACCTGTCTGCTTGCTTTTAAAACATCACACACAAAAATATGCTCTAGACCCACGTGGATTAAGGCACCCTAAGATTTCTCTTCGCTCAGTTTTCTGTGGGTTTTTTAGCAGTTGAGGTGGTTATGTATCACTGACTTCCTCCCTACACAATTCTATTCATCTGTGTTAAAAACATGTATTAATTCATCAACAGGACTTAATTTCCTTACCTTTATCTGGATGATTCAGAAGCATGATCCGTCTATGAGCTTCTCTAATTTTATTTCTGTTTGCTGTAGGGCTTTGAAAGAGAGAAAAAAACTGACTTAAGGAACCCTCATGAAATTCCCCAGATCATCAAAAGGTGTCTGAGAACAAGTGAGCACTCTGCCTTACCACAAATTCTCTAGCTAACATGTTTCTCTTTTCCTGCTACTGATATGTGGTGTCTAAATCCTGGAGAGGCTTTCTAGGGCTCTTCCAAAACACTGAATGCTGACAAAGACATGCTACAGCAGTCTAATGGGTCATCCACACAGTTCAAAAGAAACACAACTACGTTGTCACTGTTTTTTTTGGAAAACTTCCTAAAGGCTGCTAGACACAAAAAAAAAAAACAAAAAAAAAAAACCTGCTTGATTTATTAAGGTAAAAAAAACTTCCAGAACTCCAAAAAAAACCTCACAGTTGAAAGTTCTTATTTGGTAGATTTGTGTATTTGGCCTCAACTGCTTTGTCAGGGATTGCCACCACAGTCAGATCTACAACGTTCCAGAAGTGAGGAATTTAATCCAGATCCAAGAAGTGGGTTTGCAGCACCTTCACTCTGCATCCACCTGGAACTCCTCAGTGCTGACAGGAACCACAAGGTACCATCAGAATTGTGTTCCTCACACCAAATGAACCCCAAGGCTCCCTGAAATGACTTATTTGGACCACGTGTGGCTCTGGAATGCTGTTCACCTTTCATTTCTGATCAATTTCCTTTACCTCACTCCTAGTATTAAAGCTGCTTCTCGTTTAGTCATTTTGGGTTCAAATCCACCTCTGTAATAACCACCACTGAAGGCCTGAAAGAAAAAAAACTTATTAGTTTAAAACACACTAATTTCTAAGTATCAGTTAAAACAACTCATTATTGCTTTAGTAGCTGCTGAGCTTTTAGTCTGTAAAAATAGCAAAACTTCACTTGTAAGAGGAAATTCAGTTGAAGTAGAGAATCATTATTTAAATAATTACTTAAACTGGCCCAAACAAGTTCTCTATTAATCAGTCACCACCAGAACTGCTGCAATTAATTGTTGTAACTAACAAAGCACAGGAGAAAATACAGCAATGCTATACAGAGACAACAGTCTGCAAGTTATTTCACCAAGTAAAGTTTTAAATAAAAATACTTACAGATTTTGGTAGGTTGTGAAGGGCTTGTTTTACCTGTGGCTCCATTTGCTTCAAAGCCTTTACTGCATAGCGACCTTAAAGAGAGCAGCGTCGACTGAGATTAAATATAGCTCCTTGAACAAACATCTACCAAGTCAGTGCAACTGGGAACTTGTGGACGACAGCGTGGAATGAACTTTTTTTGGGAGATGAAATAGTAAGCACTTTGATCTTTTGTTTCACTCCAGCCACTAACACAGGCTCTCCCGAAAGAGCGCCCGGTAGCAGCGATTAAACTACCTTGCGAGCAGCCCCGAGGCACTGCCCAGCAGCACGGGGCGCGCAGAGCGCCGGGTGCAGAGTCCGCCCGTCCCCCACACACCTGCGAATCCGGCTGCCGCTATGGCCAGGCCGACCGCCACCATCGTGCTGGCCTGCATGGGAACGAACACACACGGCGTTTGTTACCGCAGCACAAGGGCACAAGCTCGGACACGCCGCCACCAGCCTAGCGGCGCGGCGGGCGTGACACGCACGGCGCCCGCGGGGACCCCCGAGCTGCGGGCAACGGGGGGATCCCGGCCCCTCGCGTTCACCGCGGGGCCCAGAGCGGAGCCAGCGGCCTCTGCGGGGCCCTCGCTCCGCGGCCAAGGCCGAGGCGGGCCCTCGGCAGCCGGCGGGCGGGCACCGGCACCCCTCACTCACCATGTCCGCCCGAGCGCGGCCCGGCCCGGCCCGCACCCACCGGCCCGCCGCAAACCGCGGCCGCTGCCGTAAAGCGCGGGGCGGGAACGGCGCCGGGACCGCCCCGGGTACGGGCGGGGCCTGAGGGAACGGGGCGGGGACAGGGCCTGAGGGGCGGGGACAAGGACAGAGGGGCGGGGACAAAGACTGAGGGGCGGGACAGGGCCTGAGGGGCGGACAGGGACAGAGGGGCGGATTTTTATTGTCCTCTCTTGTTTGG